CTGCAAGCTCTTTGAAAGAAAAGTTTATTTCTACCACGCACCAAGTAAGAATTTTCTACCTTTTTTTGTTTTATTGCTCATTGATTTGTTTAAATTTATATAATGATTTACATATTATTTGGGAAGACAAAGTTCTGTTATAATAACAAAAATATGTACAGTTCAGAGTTATAATGCAGAAAACCTCTAAAATACTTTATTTCCTAATGGAAGCAAAAGTATGTAAAGTAATAATCTAGAAGTTCCTATCATTTAATAAACGAGTATTTTTAGTAATGAATAAGTTTTTATCTGATTAAAGTAATGAGCTGCTTTCAGATTATTTCTTTTGTAGATATTAGGAAGTTCCTTATGAAGGAACTAAAAATACTTCCAGAAAGTTTTTAATATGCTGATGTGAAAATGATAGCAGTTCTTACCACAAGACCGCCTATTCAGTGGTAAAAATATTTCAGATTACAATAAGTCTCACTTGGAATAAAATGAGAAGAAAGCTCTCTCTGTCAGGAAAAGAAAGAAGTATTTTAAATATCCTTCATCTTCCAGCTAACATTTTCAAGTACTTTATTGCACAAAAAAATCGTTTTTTCTGAGATCTGCTCTGAAAAGCACTGCTGGACACCAACCCCAGTTAATTCAAATGCAAATAAACTGTGAACTTCAACCTACTTCAAGCAATAAGTGCAACCATTGCCAACTCTCCTCTCATTTAACTCTTTAGAACTTCTTATTTTCTTAAGATTTGCACCACTCAGCAATGCAGCCAAGTAATTCACCACTAATTTTATGTAACTTATGGTATAAAGAGCGATTAATTGAATAGACTTACTGTGATCATTTCTAGGACAGGAGGTGTAAATACCTGCATAAACGTTGCTATCAAATAAAGTTACAAATAGATAACAAATACATATTTCCTGTCATTCTCATCCCCACTTGGTAAAGAATCATGCCTAGTTACCTACAGCAACCTCTCTTTGCCAGCATATTTAGCCAATATAAACAGAAGTAACAATGCCACAGAGGAAACAAGAGATACTGGCATTAAGGGAGCCTTTTTGAAGTTCTTCTGGTGCAGTAACTCTGCAGAAATTCCTTGATCTGCACTGGCCCATCCAAATGAAGACACATGTTAATAAATGCAACTGCTAGAAATGAACACAACCTGCCAGAATTTTGTAACTAAACATCACTCAACCCAAAACCTAAAGAAAGAGCTTGCAAAATAATACAGAAGAGAATGAAGCTGTAGGTTTGATTTCTCTTGAATATTTTTTCTGGGCAGTAGTAAACCTTGATATTGGAGGTGTTAGAGGGAGTTTCACATGGCACTATTTTCGAAGGGGCTAAATTACTGCTGCTCTTGGTCAACCTAGAGCTTTCTCAATGTGTCTTTACTACAGAGAAAATATTTGACTTGCAGCTCTTCTGACAATATAAAATTGATCTTTGTCTTTTCTGTCTACCAAGTGGCAGGGAAAAGCATGCTGCATTAAATATGTATAATATCATATGCAAACAAGTTTCCAGTCTTTTCATTTGCTGACAGCTATTCCTTATGCTTCAGAAGGTTTAAAAAAAAAAAAAAAGCTTGAACTAAAAAACAGATTAAACAGATTTACAAATAAACTTGCTAATCTATTTACTTTAAAATTATGTAGCATAACAGACCAAGCTACAGTGAATGGTTAATGAATATGGTTCTGCTTTTGCTTAGAAAAATTTAGAGCAAAGTCAAGAATGGCATTTGAGTCATTGCTTCCCCTTGAGTGAGTGATTCACTCCTGCGATATTTAATGTCCACAATTACCCCATAATATTTGCCAGTCTGAAGAAAAGTAATCAGAACTTACTTCCTAAACTTCATTTGACCTCTTACCTTTAAGATATCAAAGCCATGTTCAGCTCTGTTAAATGGCAGAACTAGTCCAATTGGAGCTTCATCTTTAGATTTGAAATTAACAAAACTGAGCAGACCCTTGTTTTTAATACTATTTTATAGTCTCTAAAAGAGAGGGGTGACAGAAAATTTGTATTTTCTGAAATATTATATAAAATGACAGTTTGGGACAGCATGCATTTTTCTAAGAAAAATAAAAGTTTGGTATTTTTAAAAAACTAATTTATGTGTTTGTAACAGTTCTTTTATTCTAAGATTGAATATTGCTTTTAAACAAATACTGAGGATTATTGGATAAACTCACACACGACTAAAAACAGCACGAAACACCGGCATGATTAGGTAGATCTAGAACACACCTAGAACAGAGCAACCACGATATTTGGGCTTTTAACTGATCACCATTTGCTGTCAAAGGCTTTAAGCCAGGAAAGAACCAAGTCATCCAGTGGAAAAAGCAAGCTTTGGATCCTGACAGGGTTGTGCATATGCTGATATTTTCAATAATTGTGTGTGCCCTCATAAGCATACCCTTGTGTGCTGCCAGCTTAAGATGGGTCCATAAAGTAGCTCTTTAACCCCATATTTTCTCTAAATCCTGTTTTTGTAACAAAATTACTTCCTGATTTCACATTAGTTCTGCAGTCAGGTAGTTGGTCAAGTCATTAACAACTTTTGTATGACGTTGATAAAAGACTTGGAACTGTGTGTTATACAAAATCATATTTTTACAAGTTTACAAACATGCTTGAAGGTTTACTACTGCAGAACAGACTTCTTCTAGTTAGAACAATGACCAATATGGCTATGGACCACACTTAATGTATACATATATTTAGAACACCATTTTGTCGAAAAAAAGCAGTGCCATTTTAACTCCTTTGGAGTGTATGTATCATTTCAAATACCCATTTTTCAAACATGACTTATCAAATAAATCAGCCTAATACAAAGGAAGGCAAAATATTACACAGAAAATACAACCAGATATAAATTTTAAAGCACCGAATCAATGTCTTAGTATCAAAGCTTATCATCTGATTGATGCTGATAAAATGACTGATCTCAGAAAGGTCAATGACTTTTAATCATGTTATGATGGAGATAGACCTGTTAACTGGAAAAAGACTGTGTGTATGAATAGAGACCAGTCAAGTGAACAATGATTTGTAGATTCAGGCCCTGTATAAACGCTAAAAGTTTAGATATTTAATTAGTGGGTTGGGGTTGTTGCATTGTGGGTCTTTCTTCCTCTCAGTATTATTGTAGCATCTGCACCATGGTTCAAAATAACTTTTTCAAAATAATTTTACAATGTCTACTTCAAAAAGTAAACATCCAGAATCTCCATACCTTAAAAGCCATAATATAAAATTATATCAAAATATTTCAAAGCAAATTAATATTCATGTCAATGACAGATGATAAAAGCTGTCTTGGCTGATGGATAGACTGTTAATGAAGGCTTGCAAACAGTGCAAGTGCTATGTAATAAACTTTCATTCCCTACTGTGGAGAAAGGAAGAAGAGAGCTGTTTTATTACTGAGGAGAGGAGAAGAGGGAGAGAATAAAACTTATTTCCTAATTCGACCCAAATGCAGTGAAAGTCTTGGCACCCTGAACTACTTTCTCCTCATTTTTCTGGCTTTCAACAACTTTACCCATCAGTAGCTCTGTGCTGCTGCCTGATGGTTATCTTTATACTGTAGCAGATACAAACATTCAGCAAAGTAGAACCCACCTTAACATTAAGGAAATGATGCAGGAGCGAAAAAATTCTGCAATACTAAGAAGCAGCCTCCTTTCATCAGCTCCATCCCATCAACACAGGTTACTTTATGCTCACAGCTACTACAACTGCTAGCACTCGTGCAGGACAACTATGTAGAGAAATACTTGTAGTTTAGGTCCCAGTTCCTAAGAAAATTCATCACAACCAAAAGGGTATGAAGCGCTACGTAATCCTAAAACAACACGAGGCGGGGACCTCATTTGCCTGCTTATTCTGTTCAGTTATCTCAGTTGCACTGGCTAGCAGCAGCAGCTTATTCCCTCTGGAATCTGCCTTAATCTCAGACAGACACCCCTGCGTGTGCAGCTCTGCGTGTGCAGAAGTCGCTGCCCAGCGCTCAGCTCCGTGCGTGCAGAAATCCCTGTGTAGCACTGAGCTCTGCATGTGCACAACTCTGACAACTCACAGGAGCAGCAGCAAACTCCTCTGTGAAGCAGAGCTCCTTACCGAGCTCACGACATGTTAAACACTGCTGAAAGAAAAAGACATTACATCTGCCCACACTTCTCAGTTCTATTCAATTACTGACAACAGCAGTCCTATAAATGCAACGTAATATGGTATTGTTAAATCCGAGATTCACGCTTACGGCTAGTTGCAGCCTGGAAGCGGGCCTGATGCTCAGCCAACATCAAAGGACAAAAATTCACAACTTTCACAGACACACACACACTCCACATTGACCTTGGAGGCAGAGGTGGTGATGATCCCTTTCATAAAGGTGCTGTTTCCCAAGTTGACAGCGTACCAGGGCTGAATTGTTTGTCAAGTAACAGGGTATCACTGTCTTTCTGTTACACACGCATACAGGCACGCACAAGAGCACAGGGCAACATGAGGCTATGCTTTTAAATCCTCTTTAATTCCCTCTTTACTCTCTACTTCCCAGAATGACCTCGCATATCCTGTCTTCCCCCACGCAGAATCAACCAGAGCTTTTCTAGTCCCCCAAATGGGTATTTATGCAAAGAAGGCTCCGTAATGCTTTTTAAGATCGTTCTGTAATATTCAAGATTTCTAAAATAAAACATTTTCAACATTCAAAAATTACCCTGAGAGCCAGTTTTCAATAAAAATAAGCCTTGAACTTTTCATTCAGATTCATCTTTTGTTTATAGAGCCCTTTTCACTGAAAGCTGCACCCCTTTTCCAAGCCTTGCCCCTACACTGACCTAAGGGCTACCAAGCTTCCAACTTTGCTCTGCCTTTAATTGCCAGCTCCTCCATCCCATCCAGCACCCTGCTACCGTTTTTGCGAAAAATATGCATGCGAGGGTGTATATATATATATTAGTATTGCCGCTTACCTTGTCCAAGAGTCACTAAAATCTACGTGGGGGAAAGAAACAAAACCCCAGCTCGACGGGTCCTCGTGCAAATGGCAAAGAGAGGAACACTTCTTCTTCTTCTCGCTTTAACAAAGCGGCTCCGCCGCGCTCCGCTGAGCGAGCGAGGCAGCAGCCCGGAGGCAGGAGGCGCAGCAGCCCTGCGGGCGCTTTCCGGCGGAGCAGGCGCGGAGGCTCCGCGGCCCGAGGCGCCGCGGGGAGGCGGCGGGCGCCCTTCAGCACCCGGCGCGGCGCGGACAGCAGCGCTCCGGCCCAGCCCCGCTGCCGCCCGCCCGCCCGCCCGCCCGCCGCGCCGCCCGCCCCGCCCCCGCCCCGCCCCCGGCGCCGGGCGGGCTCCCAAAGTTGCGCTCCTCTTGTGCCCGCCGCCTCCCTCGGCTGGTTTGTTGCGTTTATCTAAGCGTGAGGGGGGGCGGAACGCCTCGTGTTGCCCCAGCCCTTCTCGCCGCGGGGCTCCCTGCCCTCAAGGGGGCTGTTACCCCGGCAGAGGTCACCGAATCGCTCCTCCGGCTTCCCCTCCTCAGGGCCATCCGTGCCCCGCGGCTTGGGCCCGGCCCGGCACCAGCAGAGCCCCTTGGCCCGGGCAGAGCGCAGCGAGAGGAGCAACTGCTGTGAAACAGGAGGAACTCCCCCCTGAAGCACACAGGGGTGTTGTGCCGGCGTGTTTCACCGTGTTTCATATTATGCAGTAATATATCAACGGGCTGTCTGAAAGCTCGAGTGTGCTGGAGGCTTTGCACACCTGAACCGGTAAGCCCTAGCATCCGCACCAGATTAAAGTGCTTTAGTGACGAGGTAGAGGTCCCTGGTAACCCTTGCCAGAAACATGGACACGTGACTGGGAATCTTATTTAGTTAGGCAAAACATAAAGGGGGAAAAAATCACCTTGAGATAAAACCATTAATTACATGTCTCATTTATAAGCAGGAGAAGAGATACCTTTGGATGAAGTGGAACAATCAAAACAAAAAATCCAACTGGAAACTAATCGCCTAAAAGCTTAGAGATACATTTATGTGAAGTCAAGCAGAGAAACAGTATTTTGAAGTCTCACTTGAATCTGCTTTATTGTGAGATAACAGGTTTAGTTATCTGATTCATTACTTTTAAATTAATTTACTATCCATTCCGCCACCTTTAAAGAGTACCTGTTTCATCTTCAATGTGAAATCATTATGAAAATTAAGTATCTACTCCTCATGCCATTATAGATTAACAGTTTCATGCCTTTTGGAAAAATACATTACAGATTAAAGTATTAAACTGTCTTTAAATCACCCATGGCTAGGGTAAAGCCAGACAGAGGTCAGCTTCTCTGACGTACATCAGCTTTCTAGGTTAATTACACTCGTGTCTACATGTGGAATGAGCACGTAGTGAGGAACAAAACTAGGTAAATACCATTCCTAAAAAGTGAACTAGTTAACATAGGAAATAATAAAATGGGACAGGTTGGATTGCATTAGCTTATTACTGTTTTGTGAGGGAGTTCTTACTGGACTAACAATTAGGTCATGGCACTGCAAGAAGGAATATGATTAACTTCGACACACAGAGTGTGGAGCATAAAGCCAAATAAACCAGACTTTCATTGACCCAACCCTTTCTAATTGCCAGTTATCATGAAGGCAGCTTGTCTGGCATCTGGGTTGCATTTCTGAAACCCTATTATTTTACTTCTCATTTTTCTCTTTAGCGCTCTCAGTTTTTCTGCAAAGTACAGACAGTATAATTGCCGTACTTAAGGACAATTTTTGCAGTACAAAATTGACACTAAGTCTGCTAGCACAGCTGCACCAGAAACTCTCGAGGGACAGAGGTAAACCCCAAACTGGCTTGTTCAAAACAGGGGAAATTGAAATGCTGTGGGGATGAATAGGGACCTTGCTCATCCATTCTGCTTTGCCATTATGAAAGTACATGAAACAAACAATCAACAATTACGTAGATGTTTTATATAACCCAATTACTGAGGTAGTTGGGAAATCGGTCAAATTATGCACGGTCTGATGTATCATAACTTACTGCTTAGCTTTGCAAATTAGTAGATGATGAATCTCCATACTAGCATATAGAAGACCCTCAAAATTTCTGAAAATCTCTGTATCTTGTGAGAACTTGCAGTCCTAAATTTCAGTGCAAATAATGATACAACCATGTAATACATTAAGGTATCTTGGCATTCTTGCATTTTTGAGTGTGCTTATCTGATCATATGTAACTTTATTATTTGTAAACTCACGGAGGTATTAAATTTAAAAGTTCATATTTAATTAAAATCTATTTAATGTATTTTTAGCACATACATATTTTCTTTTTTTTTTCTCTGATTTAGATCCATAACATCTATAGACCATAGTTGGAAAATAAATTTTGTTCATTCATATCCTGACATCTGTCTTCTGCTTAATGGATATTATATGTGAGCTCTATTTTTTACATTGTTGGATCCGTTTTTACACACACACAAAAATTATGTGAATTAATTTTATTGTTGCTTTGTTTTGCGTCCCATGCATTACATCATCACTTTCCAGTTCAAATGTTTTCATCCAAAGAATAACTGGGATATTACTTTATTGGATGTAATGCAGATCAATATATATTTTAATGACGAACTTATTCTGTGCCTAACAATTAATTGCTAGTCCAGAGAGACTGTTGCTGCTTAGTAGTATATTTCTAATTTACATAACCTTAATTTGGATACTTTATGATCATATCTGGAAAATCCCACATAATATGCCAGACAGTTTTCTGTTTGGTATACTCCTGAGCCCCATGTGCTTGACAATCAGTTATGCTGGTTTTTATATTTTCTACTCCAATTACTATATATGAAGTGTTTGCCATTGGACAGAGAAGAGCACATGCAGTAAGTACTGTCGTTTTCTTGTACAGATAAGAAACACAGAACTTCAAAGCTGGTTTATGTTTGTTTAGACTACAGATAAAGATTCTCTGTTTTGTATTTATGACATGCTGCTTAATATAATATCTGATACAGCAGGAAGTTTTATGCAAGACAAAGAGAAGACCAAAGTCTCAGTATGTTAAAGGGAAGTTAATGCGAATAATAGATGATAAAAGTTGTTTTAACAACCCATTCCATATTGTCCATGCTGTGATTTAACTCCTGTTAGCAGTCAGAAACCAGGACAGTCCAGAACATTCGCTCTTACACTTTACAGCCCATCCATAACTCACTGAAGTTAGAACAATAGTCAATTTCTTTGACTAATTTGTATCTCCTTTTCTACTGCAAAAAATTCTGGAGAAGGGGTTACATTCCTTGTAAACAGTGTTGCACCCAAAATGAATGCAGAATTCGAGAGTAAGCAAAGTTTTTCAGAACTGACTGTTTTTCTTCTCTTGGCTTTTCTACCACTAGCATTTCAAACACAAGTAATTAATTTTTTCTTAATTTTTGCTTGGGATTTTGTGGACAAAAATAGGACATTTATAAAACTTGCCTTGTTACTTACACTTTAGATTATTCCAGTGACTTCTCTGTGGCTTGGTACCCCTCACTACCTGCAAGTTCAATAACAAAATTTTATTTTTCTGTGATCTATCTTTAAACATTTGAATTGAAAAGAATTCCCATTGTTACCAAAAAATTTAGGATATTAATATCTCATACTACTAAATGTCAATTAATTTGTTGTCTCAAATTATGCAGCAGTTCCAATGTGGCAATAAGACTAAAAAGCAAAAATTAATTATTTTTGTCTTTAAATGAAGAATATGGAACACTTTAAACACAATTATATTTGGGGCTTAATATCAAAAATAGTTTTAGGCATGATGAATTCTAACAATGATGAAATCTTATTTCAAAATATACAGTACAAAGTACTGCCCTTTGTAGTATTCAATTTCCATTTCTTCTTAACAAATTATTCCCCTTTTCAGACAGCAGCTGGCCCTTCAGTGCAGCTGTTACTAGTAAAGATCATTGATTAACTTGAAGTCAATGACAGCAAAGGAACTCTCACGATGCTCTGATATGAGATAGCATGAATAATCCTCCAAATCTCTCTCTCTTGCACACACACAGCATGAAGTTTGGACACATACCTCTTTCTCTCATTTTCCACTAGTCTAATTCACTCAAAGTCTGTTCAATGTTTTAATGAAATATGATAGTGCATCCACCATAAACTCAGTCCTGAGCAAAAAGCACAAGAAATGCATTGAGACCTGGACCGGTGCTTTGATAACAGCAGGGCATCGTGAGCACCAGAATGACAGACACTGGCAAATGGCATAGAGGAAAATTAGCTTACTCGTGGCTTGGAGAAAGGTTGTGCCAACCATCTGTCACAGGAGATCTCCCAAATGACAGCAAGGATCATAAATGCACATTAAGGTTTTCCCTATATCACCTCAAAGCCAGTTCTCACAAAGGGACCCAAATAAAAAAATATACATTATTGTTCACACACAAGAAACCGTTTGAAATTCATTAAAATAATTCAAATGCATGCCACAAAACAACAGATGCAGACTCAGAGTGTGTAGGGGGGAAGCATAAATTCTGAGGTAATCTCTGTAGGTTTTTTCATTATGTCTAATAAAATAAATACTAAAAATTCATTTCAGTGTGTAGCAGATTTGCAGTGATAGTGATTCTGACAAGATGACATTGTCCCCATTCTCATCTTGTGAAAATAAAGTAACAGCTGATTAAACAGGAAGGAGATAATACACTACAGAATTAATATCCACATTAAAAATTACTATTGGAAAAGAATTAGGCAATGAGGATAAATATTTAATTTCATATCATCTAGCTTTTTTCAACCTCATTTGGGATCAAATAATTTAATTATTCATTATCGTTGAAATCTGAAAGCATACTACCACTCGATAGTAGATAATACAGATTCTATTAAAAAAAAAACCACTCCACACAAAGAGAGAGCTGCAGATACTCGATTTCAGTGCCTAGTGATAGCATATATAAGAGATCTCTTAGGGCACCTACTGGGGAACCTAAGCATTGCATGCCAAAGAAAGCCTGCAAAAAGGGTA